TCTGTGCTTTGGCACAGTAGGAGCCCCGTGCTCTGTCTCCCGTTCTATGCTTTTGCACTCTAGGCAGCCTGCAACCTGGGATAGCAAAGGTGAGGAGACTGCCACTTATATTAAAAAATGCCTTACATTTGTAGTGGCAAGGTGTGAGCCTGCTTTTACTGCTGTGGTGGTGCTGAGATGCCCTCATGTCTAATGGGATTTGGAGGGAAGTGGGGTGTGTGGAAATGTGTCCAACACACGCTAGTCCGAAAAGATAACCTGCTGGCCAGGGTGAAGAAAACCCTGCCCCATGCTCTCCACTGTATCTTGGCCAAAGCCAAAGCATTGGGCATGGGCCAGTAAGTGCTCTGTCTCCAGTGTGTTTGTTAGCGCACTGATGGCTCCTCAGAGCTCAGTCTAAAGGCAATGCAGACACCATGAAAATATCTCACTCAGAACAGTGTTAACTAGAATGAGGGTGGGAAGGGATCTTAAGAGGTCACATCCCAAGGGAGGTGGTGCTCTCCCCTACCCTGGGGGTCTTCAAGAGGAGGTTAGATAGGCATCTAGCTGGGGTCATCTAAACCCAGCACTCTTTCCTGCCTATGCAGGGGGTTGGACTCGATGATCTATTGAGGTCCCTTCCGACCCTAACATCTATGAATCTAGTCCAACCCCCTGGTCAAAGCAGGACCAGTCCCAACTACATCCCAACCAAGGCGTTGTCTAGCCAGGGCTTCAAAACCTCCAAGGAAGGAGATGCCACCACCTCTCTGGGTAATCTGTTCCAGTGCTTCACCACCCTCCTGTTGAGAGAGGTTTCCCAAATATCCAACCTCAACTTCCCTTACTGCAACTTGAGCCCATTGCTCCTTGTTCTGTCACCTGCCACTGCTGAGAACAGTGAGACCTGTTCAGACCTGTCTGCAACAGAAGTCCCAGTGTGGGGAGAGGGGAGGGAAGGAGCATTATCTTGGTACTTCACAGGTACTTAGGGTAGGGCAGTGGGTTTGTAAACCTCTAGGATCCCAGGATAAAAAACTTTGTCCTGTGATAAACTGGTTACATTTTTATTTATTTATTTATTTATTTTTTGCTTCAGACTTGGTAGCCTTACTTCTTTTCTCTGGATTAACTTTTTGCAGACAGGGCTGAATGCTGGAGAGCATAATGCCAAGCTTCCTGGTGATGACATTGGGAAGACAACTCCCTTAAGGTATGTCTGCCCAGCAAAATGAAGGTGTGGTTGAAGTATGTTGGTGTGCTGGGGTTAGCTTGATTTTTAGCTAGCACAAGTAACAAAAGGAGTGAGAACATGGGACTTAGCATGTGCTAGCAAGTAGAGCATGTCCTGAGGATGCCAGAAGGGTTGGTACCCTTGCTGGTAGCATATGCCAGAGTTCACAACATTGTGCTTCCACTGCTGTTGTTACTCATACTAGCTAGATTATGTTAGCACATGCCACAGTCGCACCTTCCTTTCGCTGTATGGGCATATTCTGTGTTGGAGGAAATCTGCTGTGTTGCCATTGGCCTTGCTAAATGGAAAGAAGAGGTAGAACAGCTTTGTGGAGCACTGTGCAAGAATTCCCTGACTGTAGGTAGAGCTCATCATGCCTTGCCTCATCTCACACCTCACCTGCAAAAGAAAAGCTGGAGAAGGAGGCTGAGAAGCCACTACTTTGTCAGGACATTTGAAGCTCTCACTTGTCACCCTGTCCTATGGAAAAGAGGTAAAAGGCTTGACCAACAATGGTGCTTCTTGATTTGCCATCTCTTGGTGCATCCAAGTGGGTGGGTTGCAGGCCACAGTTTTTCAGAGCCTTAGTGAAACTCAACTGAAAAGTGCAGCAAGTCTGTCCTGATTCAATACAGATTACTCTTTTGAAGGAGGCTGAGCCAGTTCAAGCGTGGCTAAATTAATGGGGCCAATTTGACACGTAGTGCTAAACTTGGGCCCTCTGCTTTTTCCCATAAGTAATTGGGCTGTGGTTGCAGGGAGATTTTTCTCCTTAATCTGGGCTGGGTGAAGTGCTGTGCATTATGAAATAAGGATGTCAATGTGGTATTCTGTAATTTCTAAAGTCTTGTATTTCTGTTCTGTGTTGTATTTTAAATTCTGTTCTAGGCCAGTTGTAAGGTATCTGTTTTCAAAGCATAAAAGTGCTCCAGAAACACCAAGAAGGGAATGCTTATTTTGTTGCTCTGTTGTGCACTCTTGCTGCTCATGGGATTCTCCTGAGATCCAAGCTGTAGATATGGGTATTTATAGTAGCACTCTTTTTGCTGGATGTAAGGAAACTTCCCAATCAGATTTAGCCAGCAGATTTAAAGGGACACGGTCAGAGATGGAAACCAGTATTAAGAGATTGGGGGAGCCTTACCCGCTGTTAAAAATACCACTGGATTTTGTTGCTGTTAAGAGTCAGAGATCTGATTTTCTCTTTTGGTAGTCTGCAGATTTGATTTTTGCCTTGCTGTTGTCCTGGGAAATGCACATGGTGTGAGCATACTCATTCTTCGTATTGGATTCCACTTCCAACTCCACATTCACTACCTCGGTGTTGCTAGTGAACGCTGCACCTGGATAAATAAAACAAGTGGGGAAAGTGTAGCTGATGCATATAGAACTGGCTTTGATAACGTCCAAGTTTTGGATCAGACTGGATCTGACCCCTTCTTAAAGAGGCATGTGAGAAATTCGGGTTAGTGCATCTCTCCAGTTGGTAGGTTTGGGGCCTTAGAACTGAACTTACATGCGAGTCTTTCTGATGGCAGTGAGCTCCTTTGAATATTGTATGTGCGCTTACAGGTGCTCTTGTGCTTAAGGCACTGGATGGTGACTTAGGGGAGACATAGGTTCCATTCCAGCCTCAGCGGCTGAGGACTTGCATGGCCTTGGTCAAGTCACTTATCCCTGCTCCTTAGTTGCCTGTACTGAGTTCTCTTGGGGATTGTTGCTGTTCCTGAGTTACTTGTATTTCTTGCATACTGGCATTTCAGTGTGCCCTTGAGGTTCAGGCCTCATGCCATGATGGCTTTCTTGGGATAGAAATACTTACTTCTCTTACACTGTGGGTGCCAGCTGGCACCTGGTTTGAGTCGCCTGTAATCACATTAATAGGTCTCTCTTGAGCTTAGACCCTTCACTTCTGTTCCCTCCCAAAGGCACCACCGATGGTAATTAGTAAGCAGATTCCTTAAAACAGTAATTTGAGCGCACAAGTGTATCTTGAACAATAGCTAGCACAGAGGTGGCTCTTCCCTAAGGCTTACCTTGCTCTGTCTGGGCGGACAGAGTCCTTTGAGCTTTCTTCATAAAGCTTGTACAGGCAGTGGCCTACAGTTCACCTGTCTCCCCTTCTGCTGCCTCCAAAAAGATTCCTAAATGCTTCATGGTCTTTTGACCTCTAGACCCCAGCTTGGAAAAACAAAGCTCACAGTGTATTGGAGGAGAGATGCACAGGACCTTTGAAGCGAGTAGCAGGCTTCTGTTTTTCTAGTTGTATGGGGAACTGTTATGTTGCCTTTCTGCATGGCTACTGAATTATGTATTATCAGTCTAAAACATAAGATGGGTGCATTCACACAGGAAGGCCTCATAATGCAGTATGGAAGAGCTGTCTAACTGACTTGTCACACGAGGGCTCTACAATTATTGCACAGCAATGCCTACAGCATTCACCTATGAATACTAATAAGTAGCAATAGCGATCGCTTATCTTCTTTTTTTCATGTGGATAAATACAGCAAAGCCAGCTTTGTCCAAATCTGTATAGTATGCTTAAGATACCAGATTGTGCCTTCACTTCTCCATCCATAAACTGGAGTGTTTTTGCTTCTGGGGTATTTTTAAAGCTCGATTGGTTGGTATGGAAAAAACCCTTTGAGAGCTTCAGCAAGAACATGTTGTGCAGAACAAGGCAGAAAACACTGTACGAGCTGCTCTCTGAGGATCTTGATGAACTCATTAAACCTCCAGGCTCCTGTGAAATAGGTGGAAGTGTCCTTGTTCTTGTAGGCTGATCTGATAGAGGCTACAGCTTGGTCAGCCTCAGCCGTGAGCATCTTCAGAGCCATGACCAAAATTTAATCCTGTGGTCCAACCAGGCATCCATCGCTGAACACAGCCTTCTGTTGGCAGCTCTCCACATCCTCAGCCAGCACAAGACGAGTAGCTAGGATGAACGGGGAAAGGAAACTGTGTCTCTGAAGGTTGTTGCTTGCAGTAACTTGGGTGGGCAGCCTCTGTGTAGGCTAATGCAGCCTCAATTTGTGCTCTCGGCTGGCTTTGGCATTGGGTCCTGCCCTGCAGACAAAGGGTGCCCGAGAGCTTTCCAGCTTCTCTGGGTTGTGCATCCTGTTGGCACAGTTTTCGGACACCCCTGTGAGAACAGTAGGGAACAGACCTTCCCTCTCTTTGGATTTCCCCTGTCATTGGGAGGCAGCTGGACTCCTTTTGGGCACTGCAGGAATGTGCATGCATTTCCAGCAGCTGTTTCCAATGGGTATGCTTGGCCTTAGAAAGGGAGGATTGTTGCAAAGGCCTGCGCTTCTGTTGGCAGTGAAGAGGTTAACCACTGAGGTGGCCTGGCTTAAAAAGCCTTTTCCATCCTCCTTTACTTTCCAGATGCTTTCCTCGTCACTGGGTTTTAGCATCCTCCGTCTTCATCTCACATCGGCCAGGTCCTTTCTAACGCCCATGTCTCTGGCTCTGTGCGGAGAGTCAGAGTTGGTAGCTTAAGAGATGTTCCAGCTAAAATGATTTCTGAGATGAGCTGTGCCAAGCAGGGCACATGGGGCCTGGCTGTATAAAGCCGTGCATTGAAGGAGACTTGCCCCTGGCCAAGCCATCTCGGAGGATAGTTTATGTGGTCTGCACTGGAGCGTGTACGGGGCTCCATTGCAGCCTGGAAGTGGCGATTTGCAGGGGTCCTTGAGCCCCTTCGTTGATGAGAGCTCTGCACAACGGCACGGCGCAAAGGGGATCATCTCTGTATTTAGCCCTACATCTCTGATCACAGAGGCTGCAGGGTGGGGGTTGGCAGTCGCTCTCCGTAGGCTGGGTCCTGTGACTAACACAGCTACCTTTTAATATTTGTGTGGCGCCGTGCCCGTGCCGAGCTGGCTCGCTTTCTCCCTCCTGCAACGCCAAGGTATAAAACAGTCACCGAAGCGAATGCGTCTCCGTGGAGGGAAGAGGCTTCACGGGGGCAGATGGGGCTTTCTGACAATGCGCCCATTTAGTAAGACGTTCCAGTCCCGAATCGGTGGCAGCTTGCCACAGGCCGAGGCTGGCTTTTTGTGCCGTGCGCCTTTAAAGAAAGCAGACTCCTTGCTGTGACGTCTCTCTGGCTCCCGGCCAGGAAGGGGGGGACCATCTCCTGCCAGCCTGAGAAGAAAACCAACAACTTTTCTGTTGTGTGTGGTTTCTCTTTTTTTTTTTTGTCTCTTTCACCGGTTTTAAATGCTAATGGCGGATTCAAAACCTTACCCAGGTTGTGGCTTTTAGAAGTCTGGTAAGGCCTAAACAAAGACTTTATCTTTCTTGTTTGTTTAAACCCGGGTGGGGAGGGGGAGCGTAAAATCCTCTTCGGGCTCCAAAGTCGGGCTGGCTTGGCCGGATTTTTTTCTTTTCCCGCAAAATCTGCAGGGTCGGAAACCTGCGTGTCCTTCAAGGTGCAAAGAAATAACTAAACTCCGAGGGCGACAGGCCAAGTTCGATTCGCCAACATCCGGGAGTTTGGGCTTTCCCGTGGGGAGGGCGTATTTTGTTTCCTCGCTAGCAGTCTTGGTGTCTTTCTGCGTAGCGGCGGTTGGGGCGATCCTTTCATCCAGCTGCTGGGGGCTGGGATGGATGCGGACCCGGCGCGGGGCTGGTGGGGGGGATGTGGGATTGTGCATTGTCTGTTCATGACCCAAGTGGGGAGTGCTCCAGTTCAGACGAGTAGCTCTGAGCTTTCTTCAGCAGGCCCACACCCCCCGTTTCCTTTCTCAACTGAGCCCCAGCTCAGAGGCGCAGAGAAATCCATGGCGTGAGCAGAGAGGCGACATAAGCAATCAGGCAGGCTCGTCTCCTCCCTGGGCTGTGGTTTTGAGTCCAAAGGAGCTTGCTTGCGTAACGCGGTATTTTGCCTGTTGTAACTGCGGGGAGAAGTGGCAGGGGACAATGCCGTGTCAGGGGCAAGCCATGGTGGCCCGGGCTTCTGCTGCTGTCGCTGTCATCTATCAGTTCTCTCGTGTTCCTACCAGCTTGGGGTCTCGCTCCTCTTTGTATTCAGCTGGGATGCGTTCTTTGAGCTTTGAGTGTCAGCACAGGATGCGTACTTAAAAAACACTTAGCAGCAAACCTCACGGCAAGACTCAGGTCCTTGTCATGTTACGTCTTGAAACCTTGTTCCGCACCTATCAGCAGAAATGAAATTCCCTTTCCCTCTGGCACTCTTGAGCTCCTGATCTGCTCCCTCCACCTGGAGGAAGAGAGCAGCTCCTTTGCAGATCCACTGTGCCTGCCTAAAGCCTGCCGATGGCTAGCACAAGGCATATTGCCTGCTCTGGAAGGAGTAAGCAGGTGTTGAACTGTTTGTCAAGCCTCAGCAGTGCCATCTGCCAGCTCTGACAAGATGCGGTGGTCTGGGCATGAGGCTGGGATCCAGGAAGGCTGGCATTAGCATCCTAGCTTGGACACTTGACTTCCTGCTTAGTCCTGGCTTGTCTTATGGGTCTGTTATCATGGCAGCACCTAGAAGCCTCCCCCAGGCTGGGCCCTGCTGTGCCATTCTACTGGGGTGTCCATTCCCCAAAGGGCTTACAACAAAGCCAAGGTGCTGAGGGGCTAAGCTGTAATTACCAGGGTGTTTCATTTTTGCCTCGTTTTCTGGTCCGAATAATAGAAGTAATGCTTGAATTATTGGAAATGGTGGGTGTTTTAAGTCACAGTTTTCAACTTTTCCTTCTGAAAGTCAAGTACCTTGATGCGAAGGGTCTCGATGTTCCACTGAAGTGAATGGGAGAGTTGGGTATTTGGCAAAGCAAAGCGAAGCAATTAGAAAAACAGTAGCCTTCAAATTTGCTGGTAGAAAATGGAGAGCTCCAGAGCCCCAAAACATGCTTGGGTGCCCCGCTTCCAGCCCTGTCATTGTGCCCGGGCACTTGCACAGCTCCTGGATAGCCTGGGACTCCTGTCAAGTGGAGTCGAAATTGGGCTCTCACGGCCCTTGGAGTCTTTGCTGCTTGAGGTCCAGGGCTATCCAAAGCCTCCCCTCTTGCATGAGCCACGCTGGCCATCAGAAGATACTGGTGTTTGCTTCTGCCAATCTGAGCTGGGCTTGAACAAGCCAACGCGTGTCCTGGATATGCAGCAGGTCCTACCTCCTGCTTCCACCACCTTGAGCTTTAGGAATTTAGGCAGTAACAGATGGTAGGATCCCTCCTCGGGTCCCTTCACTAGACTGATCTGCCAAACGGTGTCATAATGCTAGGGCTTGACCTCCGAGCAGCCACCCACCCCATAGCCAGCGTGAGATCTTCCCCGGTGACAGGCGGCTAACCCAGGACTTTGTGCAGCAAACCCAGATTTTTGCATTTCTAAGAGAGCTTTCCCTAGGGGAGTCGAGCGTGAGGCAGTACTGTGCTGCCTTCTCAATACTGCAGACAGGCCACCTCGTTATCCGTGCTGCTGCTTCCAGCTCTGCCAAGCAGCAGCTGAGTTGAAATGATCCATTTTGATGCCATTCTCAACAACTGGACAGCAGCAAAATGTCAAGAATGGCCTGGACTTTGTGCTTCTTAGAGAAAGATGTTCCTCACAGTAGCTCCCCAGGTGGTTACTTGGCAGAGGCATAGAATAGAGGGTCTCCTACCTCTTAAAGAAAAATGATGCTGAAAAAGGTGGGACCCATGGACTATTGCAATCAGGCACCTGCTAGGCTGAGGCTCTAGGGAGAGCCCCCCTCAACAGGCCCAAAGGCAGGTACCTGCTACAAAGGGCAGCACCTTCTAAGGAGAAGCTGGGTGTGCCATAGGGCCTGGCCTGTTCCCCGGGAGGCTGGTCCTGGATTTACTGAGGTGTGCCTCTTACCCAGGGGCAAGCAGTTATTTTGGGCAGAGGGCTGCTTACTTGAGTTTCGGCATGCCATCGAGGGCCACACGACAGGCAGCCCAGGTCAGATTAATATTATTTTTCTAAATTTTTTAGGGGCCCTGCAGGCCGGATAGGATGGCCTGGTGGGCTGCATCCGGCCCCTGGGCCACATTTTGCCCACCCGTGCTCTTACCTGTTTAGCTAGTGGCTTTAGTCCTCTGGTTAGTTGGTCTTTTGAACCTAGTGGAAAGGGTGCTACGACAATGGGTTCATGGTGGTAGGAGCCTGGACTTGATGGCCCTGGATTTCCCTTCCAGTCTCATGTTCCTAGAGCTACTTGCACATCCCAGATACTGGGCAATCCTGCTAATCAGTCCATTCTCCTAAAACTCTGCAGGGCAGTCCGAGAGCTATGCATGTCTGCCCACAAGGTGCTCCGTTGTCTTGCCAGCCGGCCTATAACAGCGTGGCAACCCCACAGGAAGCAAAGGTCGCTGCCCAGGAGATGCCGCAGCAGCCTGGCCAGGTCGTGCCGTGGTACTGGGGCAAAGAGGCAGTCGGGTCTGGCCTCCTGGAGCTCCGGCTGTGTGCTTGGCCTGCCACCCAGAACACTGAGCTGTCAAATGTTTCTCTTCTGGAGCAGCTGCTTTGTGCTGGCCCCAGGTGGGGAGGGAATGGAGGCGGCTGCATGCTGGATGCTTAAGTGATTGGCTCCCCATGCCTGTTTTGGGGGCGGCTGTCAGGCCAGGGTGCCTTCTTGCCACGGGGACTGCCATGCAGGGCAGTCTCTGTTTCCTTATGGGGAATCAGTAGGGCAAAGTGGGGAGGAGTTTGTGCTTTCTGAAATGTGAGAAGAGAAGAGGACCATACAGGAGCCCTTTGGTCTCTGGTAGGAGCTGGTTTCCCCTTGGCCAGGGGTAGCGCTCAGCCTCCCAGAGAGCCCCAGGGGAGAGAGATCCAGAGGGAACCTTCAAACCCCCCTAGTCTTGGTTTGGGAAACCTTTTACTGGTGAGGGGCTCTGCCTTGGCTAGGGAAAGCCTGGGATATGCTTATGGCTTAGCTTCTACTTGAGCCTGCAAGAGGCTGGGCAGCGGCAGGTGAATGCATTTTGATGGATGTATCTGGCGTGGCCGGCCTTGGGTTTTGGAGGGAAGGCTTGCATCTTGCAGTGACCCTTGGTAGATGTCTCCAGGTCTGGGTGAGCCCCCAAATGTTCTTGGGATGCTTCCTACCAGCCCACCTGTGCATTCAGAGGACGCGGCCCTAAGCCATGCTGGCATGAGGGTTCAGTGCTGCTTGGGGTACGTGTGAGGAGCCGGGTCCACGGCACTGCTGGTCTTAGCACGGAGGGAGTTTTGCCAAGGAGAGTCAAAGCACGTGAACGTCCGTGTCTCTCCATGCCGCTGTGCAGTGTCCTTTGCCTCCTCTGTCGCGGTCCCAGCTGGGGAGGAGGGACTGTCGAGTCAGCTGAGATCCCGACAGCTTGTGGTTGCTCGAGGTCCCATGACCCTTTCAGCGGGAGCTGGTTGTTAACACCAGCATCCTGCCAGATTCCGGCATGGATAATTGCATTCTGCTGACCTGGATTCCCTCTGCGCCCTTTCTTAACTTGTGCAGTGTGGTGGAGCATGGCCCTGTGCTGTTCAGCACCTGCTCCATTGACTCAGGGCAAAGGGATCCCCCTGAGCCTGCCTCCTATCTTGTTAGGACCATTGTGAAGCCTGGAACTGCTCCCACTCCTTTCTTCCCCAGCCCCGAACTGGCGAGTTCTCAGAGGTGAGCCACACGCTCCACTTTGTTTCCACATTGTTTGCGGTTATGTTTTCTTAGCTCCAGTCCAGACCCCTGGGGCTTCCAGATACTGCGAACCACCAGCTTTGCTTCCACACCCCGGCAGGCCCAGATAGACTAATCACAAAGGCAGGATCAGCTGCTGCTGTGCTGCCAGCTCCTGTGCTGAGAGTCTGCCATACCGAAGTGAAAGCGGTTTCTCCTGCTGCAATTGAACAAAACTGCATCTGGGGAGAAAACCAGCAGAGGCAAAGAGGGGTAGGGAGAGCTGGAAGGGGCTACTGCTGGCCGAAGCCATCCCTTCTGCAGTCCAGCCCAGTGGCCAATGAGGGGAAGTGCCTTCCATGTGCCCCCCTCATTTGAGCAGGGGGCAGGAGACCATTGCTGCTGCTCTGGCTACCAGCGCAGGAAACCTGTCTGTTTGTTTAAAGCCAGGCATTTGAGGCCCTTACTCCACAGGCTGGAGGGACAAACCCAGCAGGGGACTGCGTTCTTCCCTCTGGATTAAAACTAGGAGGTGTAGGGGTGCAGGGTGTGAAAGGAGCCCAGCTTCAGTGCTGGAAGGTGCTCCAGAGTGACTCATTGCACTGTTGTTGCCCTTGGGACCCCAAATGGGAACTTTTAGCGCTTTAGGATGCACTGGTCTGCTACATGGAGCAAATCCCAAATGTCCTCTCCTTACAGAGTGGGCAGGCTCTGTCTGTTGCCCAGAACAAGGAGATGGGCTCAGCCTAAGTTTAAGGGCTGGAACAGGAGCCTTTAAAGCAGGGGTGGCAAACTCAAGTGGCCTCACGAGCTGGCTGGGTGTTGCTGGGCCGGATTGGACCAGACCCCCTGTGCAGCCTCTGGCGCTGGGTCCAGTTTGTGCTACTGACCCAGAGTGTGTGCTGCCCGTGGTGCATGGGCTGGATCCAGCACTGCATGCATCACGGGGTCAGTTTGGGGTGCCACATTCAGCTTGGGCCTCTATGCTGTGTGCAATGCTGAATCCAGCCCACAAGCTGCAGGCAGCACATGCCCTGTGCCAGCTGTGGGGGCCACGTGCAGCATGGCCCAGACCGGTGCCTTGTGCTGCCTGCCATGCCAGGTACAGTCCATGGGCAACACACACCCCATGCTGCCTCCCCTTGGCTGGAGTCCTGGGGTTCACTGTGCATGTGGGGCCAGCTTCGGGTGGGCACTGCCCATAGCATGCAAGCCGAACCCAGCACTGCACATAGCACAGGGGGTCTAGGGTGAGGGCTGCACACGGTGGCCCCTGCATGCAGTTAATAGGATGGGGGCTGGTACATGGGGTTGCTCCAGCAACCCATGGGCTGGATCTGGCTCACAGACCGTGTGTTTGACATCCCTGATCTAAAGTGATTATAAGTGAAAGACTGAGAGATGGCTAGTGGAACAAGACTTACTGTATTTACTCCATTCCGAGATGAGGGTTTTTCCCCCCTTTAACATGGCAGGGGGAGAAGCCCTTTGTCTTGGAATCGAGCATGAGGCAGTGCAGATGAAGGCTCCTGCTCTGGCCCTGGCCCTGGCCCTGGCCCTGGCCCTGGCCCCAACCCTAGCAAATCCTTTGAGGTTTTGCAATGTCCTGGTTGTGTTCCTCCAAAGCCCCTTTAGTCTTGGGCTGTAAGTGATCACTTGCGGGAAATACCTATATCTGGAGTCCTGTGCCCAGTTTTGGGTCCCCCACTACAGAAAGGATGTGGACATATTGGAGAGAGTCCAGTGAAAATGGCTGGGGGACATGACTGGTGAGGAGAAACTAGGAACTGGGCTTATTGAGTCTGAAGAAGAGAAAGCTGAGGGGGATTGAACAGGGGGGTTGCAAAGAGGATGGAGCTGGACTGTCCTCAGTAGGGGCGGATGACAGAACAAGGGGCAATGGGCCCAAGCTGCAGCAAGGGAAGTTGAGGTTGGATATTAGGGAGAATTTTCTCACTAGCAGGGTGGTGAAGCACTGGAACAGGTTACCTAGAGAGGTTGTGGACTCTATCATGGATGGTTTTTAAGACCGTCTTAGACAAAGCCTTGGCTGGGATGATGTAGTTGGGGCTGGTCCTGCTTTGAGCAGGGGGTTGGGTTAGATGTGACCTCCTGAGGTCCCTTCCAGCCCTCATTTTCTTTGGATGATCCAGAGGGCAGGTCTGCATGTGGTGCCCAGCATGCTGCAGGCCTCCTCTTATCCTTGTGCTTGTATCTTAACCAAAAACCCTGCAGCTTGGACTGGGTTTGTTCTCCAAATCCTTGGCAGCATCTTCAAGCCCTCAGCACCAGAGTAGGCCAGGGGAGACGCTGGGGGCAGGTTCCCCACTTGGCTGGCAGATCCAAATCTGTGAGTTGCTGGATCCTAAATTTGGAGGGGCAAAATCAACCGTGGTGGATAGGCCCCAGGCCCTGCTAGAACCCTCAGCTACGGTGCTGGGGCAGATGTGTCAGGTCTTGCACAAAGGCTCCTTGCAGGACACTTGTCCTTGGCTTTCC